TTCTCACCGGATGTGAGATACGTAGGCAAACCTCATCGGTTCCGGCCCCAATTTTCAAAAAAACAAAAAATTCAAAAATATTTTCCATTTCCTTGATTCCCTCTTTAGAATTCTTTCCTTAGAATATCCAAAAAAAAAAAATCCAAAAATATTTTCCTTCTTTTTCGAAGTCTTTCATTTGAAAAAAAAAATGAATAAAAAAAATTTCAAATCAAAATCCAAAATATTTTCTTCCTTCTTTAGAATTCCTTCTTTTAAAAAAAATAAAAAAAATCAAAATTCCATAAAAAGAAAAAAAAATTTAAATATTTTAAAGTCTTTATATAAAAAAAAAGAAACAAAGAAAAATGGGTGAGTCTATTCTCGATCTCCTTGAACTACGTAATGATCGGATTCATGCGGCGACATGATACGTAGGCAACCCCCAAAAGGTTCGATCAAAATATTTTTCAACGATTCTAAGATGAGGGATAAAATGAGGTGTGAGTGAAAAAAAAAAAGAAGAAAAAGAGGAAAAAAAAATAAGAGCGCCAATAAGAAGCAACCTGATAAGCCGGAATAAAACATGAAGCCTCCAAAAGCATGTTAGAAATAGTGATAATGATATGAGCATGGCGTATTACGTGTGATTCATATCTATAAAATGCTTAGCCCTAACACGTTTTGTTGTCTTTTAAAGTAAAGCTTAAGGTGGTTAGTTTGTGGTGAAGCTGGCAACATATCATTTCTTCACCAGATCTAAGGGAACGATAGTAATGGCTAACGATGATGAGATCGAGCTGGTCAGTGACGACCCCCAAGGTCAGTCAGTTGAGCAAGAGTCGGAGGAAATAAGAAAATTGAGACAACAATTGTCTAATGTATATCAAGCTTGGGTTTATGGTCAGCCTCCACCCCAGGGTCTCTCAGAGGGAACTTCCACCGTACCCCTGGCTACTCAACCACCGCTCCATTCAACGAGCGATCACATTCTACTACCAGGGTATGTGCCAAACTACAGCCTCCATGCTGCTCCTGATACCTCTAATGTGCGGCCTCCAGTCGCACCGGTTAGGAACACTCCTCTCGTCGTGTCTGGCGCACCGGTATATACAATCCCGCCACCATTTCATGCTTATAATGGCCAATACCACTATCCAAATATGGCTTTCAGGGTCTCAACTCCATATAATCAGACTCCTCAGTACGAGTCACCAGTGGAAAAAGAAAAGCTTGCCAGGACGGTTGAGCCAGATGAGATGGCCAGGAAAATGAAAAGTCTTGAACAGAACATAAAGAACATACAGGGACTAGGTGGTCACAAAAGTGTTTTATTTAGTGATCTATACATGTTCCCTCATATCCATTTGCCACCAGGGTACAAGACCCCAAAATTTGAGAAATATGATGGACAAGACGACCCTATCGCCCTCTTGAAAAGGTACTGCAACCAGTTGGGGGATGCAGGTGGAAAAGAAGAATTACTGATGGCTTATTTTGGGGAAAGTCTTGTGGGGGTAGCCTCCGAATGGTTCATTGACCAAGATATCTCTCACCGGCATGCCTGGGATGACATGGCCCAGATATTCGTCAAACAATTTTAATACAACATTGATATTGCACTAGATCATAATTCCTTGTCCAATATGAAGAAAAAGCTGACGGAAAGCTTTAGGGAGTATGCCATCAAGTGGAGGGAGCATGCGGCTCGAGTTAAGCCACCCATGGATAATCATGAGTTGATCACTGTTTTTCTAGAGGCTCAAGAGCCTAATTATTTCCAAAATATGATATCTGCAATAAGTAGGCCTTTTGCAGAAGCAATCAAGATAGGGGAAATGGTTGAAAATGGCCTCAAAACTGACAGAATTGTAAGTCAGGCTGCTCTCAAAGCCACCACCCAAGCAATCCAAAATGGGTCGGGAAGTTTGGCAAATAGAAAGAAGAGAGATGTAGGGTCCATGATGACTTCAGGATCCAGAAAAATTCAAAGAGGGACATCGCACCCTTATATGAAAGTTCAACAGGGGCAATCCAGCTACCCTCAACATTATTATCCCCGTCAATTCCTCAGTACTCTGTAGACCCACCACAATAAATAGTGTTTAATGCTCAATCCTATGCTCGGCCACCCAATCAACAGGTACGGGCGCCAGCTCCAAGGATCCCCCAACCTCAGTAGCAAAATTTTTGGGCAACCTACAATACTCGTCCCAAGAAGGATTATGGTCAAGAACAGAGGACGGTGGAAACATTCACTCCATTGGCTGAATCATACTCTAGTCTGTTCCAGAAGTTGAAGCAAATGGGCGTGATTAGACCCATCGCTCCCCACCATATGCATCCCGATTCACATGGATTTCAAGCAAATGCTAGATGTGAATATCATTCAAGTGCCCCGGGGCATATTAGTGATGACTGTTGGACTCTGAAAAGAGCCATAGAAACACTCATTGCTGAAAAATTAATTGTACTGACAAATGGCGAGGACCCTCCTAATGTGACCAATAACTCGTTTCCATTACACAATGATGTTCATTTTGTTGGAATAATTGACCGAGATCAGGAATACAAGCCGGTTGGTCAAGTAGAAATGACAGTGGGAACGATTCAAGAGGGAACCAAACTGGAAATAAATCCAAGTCGAGATGTGTCGTTGATTGTGAAAGGCGCCCCGAGCTCAGAAAAGGTAACTTTATTTGTTCCCAATGTCTCAAGGTTGGAAGTTCGCTCCAATGTTCCAAGCCCAAGGTTGTATGTCCTTGGAGGTCACCGCATCACAAGGCAGAATCAGGGCGGTATGAAGGGTATGACAGATCCGATCATAATCAAGCCTGCCATACAACCCCATGTGACAAACATGAAAACCATTCCTTGGAACTACAACAAAACTGTAGTAACCTACAAAGGCAAGGAAATCATAGAAAAAGTGGGGAAAACTGGAGGTTTGACTCGATCGGGGAGGTGTTACTCTCCATAAGAGTTGAGGAAGGCCAAGCAAATCAGAGAAGACCAATTGCCAATAAAGAAACCAGTCACTGAAGAAGAGGCGGAGGAGTTTTTTAAAAAGATAAAAGTTCAGGATTACTCAATCATTGACCAGTTGAGAAATACTCCTGCCCAAATCTCTCAGTTATCTCTGCTCATACACTTAGAAGAGCATGCCCGTGTACTAATCAAAATCCTGAACGAGGCACATGTCTCAGAGAAGACCACCGTGAATTAGTTAGAGAAGATGGCCAATAGATATTTTGAGGTGAACAGAATCTCCTTTACTGATGATGAACTTCCGAGGAGGGAGCCGGGCATAATAGGGCTTTATACCTGATTGTCAAATGTGAGGGGCATTATGTAAAGCGATTCATGGTTGATGGAGACTCAAGTGTAGATGTATTCCCTCTCTCTACCTTGCAAAGCATGAAGATCAATACAGATAGAATTCGACCCAGCAATGTTCGCATTCGGTCTTTTAATGGCTCAGCGAGAGATACCATTGGGGAGATCAACCTCACCATGACGATTGGGCCTGTTGATTTTGAAATTGTCTTCCAAGTAGTGGACATGAAAACTTCTTATAACTTTCTTCTTGGAAGGCCATGGATCCATACGACCCGAGATGTGCCATCAACCTTGCATCAGATGCTCAAATTTGAACACAATAGGCAAGAAATTATTGTTCACGGAGAAGACGAGTCATCCATTTACAAAGACCCGTTAATCCCGTGTATTGAGGCCAGGGAAGGGTGCGAGCCCATTGTCTATCAGGCTTTCGAAGTGGTTGCTGTGGACTATGTTGAGGATGGAAAGCCCATTCTACATCCTCGTCTCTCTGCCGCATCTCTAATGGTGGCTGCACTTATTATGAGACAAGGTTATGAGCTAGGAAAAGGCTTGGGGGCCTCATTGCAAGGAATTTCGGAACCCATTTCTCCGTTCAGTAACAAGGGTACTTTTGGTTTAGGTTTCAGGCCGACACAAGCAGATGAAGACAAAGCCAAGCACCGCAAAAAGCATGGGTGGGCCTTGCAGCAACCTATCCTTCACATTTTCTACACTTTTGTCAAGCCACGACTCAAAGAGGGTCAAAATTCCTCGGCGCAGGCAAACATTGATGAAAATTTCCACGGCCTCAGCCAGATGTTTTCTGAAGTGAATATGATCCAGGCTGGTGAAGGCACTAGTCATGCCGATATGCAACTAATTGGCTCAGACACCATGCTCAACAACTGGGAAGCAACTCCTCTCCCCACAAGGAAAGAGTCTTGGTAGTTTGCTTTTGCAACGTTTATTTTTGTACTTTGGGTTACTTTCAGGGTTGTAATCCAAACATCTCAGTATAATTGTTTTGTTGTTAACCCTTCTATCCTTTCAAATTCAATGAAATGCAATTCAGTTTCGTATTAAGTTTTGCATCTTTTCCTTTTCCTATTTCATGTCATTTTGTTTCCATTTCAATTTTGTTAATGCCGACTTTAATAACATGACATGCATGCAGAATTCATGCTCAGATCTTAAAAAGCTGTCTAATTTCGAAATAATGCATCAAGAGGTTGAATATGATGAAGATGAGGCTGTTGAGGAAATAAAAAGAGAGTTGGAACAATTTGAAAACAAGCCTAAGCCCAAACTCAATGAAACTGATCCAATTAATATCGAAAGCCAGGAAGAAGTTAGGGAAACAAAGATAAGCAATCACACTGAACGAAAAGCCAGAGATGCCTTGATTCAATGTTTATTTGAATACAGAGATGTGTTTGCTTGGTCTTATGATGATATGCCGGGTTTAAGTGCTGATCTAGTGGTTCATAAACTTCCCACATATCCTGATTTTACACCAGTTCAACAGAAGCAATGAAAATTTAAAATGGACATGAGTGATAAAATCAAAGAGGAAATAATAAAGGAATGGAGCGCCAATGTAGTTAGAGCTGTACGATACACCACCTGGGTGGTAAATGTTGTGCCTGTGCAAAAGAAGGACGGAAAAACCAGAGTCTGTGTTGACTACAGGGACCTGAACAAAGCAAGTCCAAAGGATAATTTTCCTTTACTAACCATCCACATACTTGTAGATGACTGCGGTAAGCATGAGATATAATTTTTTGTGAATTGCTATGCCGGATACAACCAGATTCTAATGGATGAGGATGATGCAGAAAAGACTGCTTTCACCACTCCATGGGGTACTTATTATTACAGGGTCATGCCATTCGGTTTAAAGAATGCGGGGGCAACTTACATGAGGGCCATGACCATCATTTTCATGACATGATGCACAAAGAGATTGAAGTATATGTCGATGATATCATAATAAAATCAAAGATACAGGCTGATCACGTGCGCGATTTGAAAACGTTCTTCGAACGGCTTCGAAGGTATGACCTTAAGCTCAATCCAGCCAAGTGTGGATTTGGGGTGCCATCTGGGAAACTCCTCGATTTTGTAGTCAGCCGTAGAGGCATCGAATTGGATCCATCTAAGATAAAGTCCATTCGAGATCTGCCACCCCCGAAGAACAACACTGAAGTCATGAGTTTGCTCGGGAGATTGAACTACATTAGTAGGTTCATTGCTCAGCTCACAGACACATGCGAGCCCATCTTTAAGTTGCTGAAAAAGGATATTGCTATCAAGTGGACAGACGATTGCCAAAAAGCTTTTGACATGATCAAATATTATCTGTCAAAACCCCTTGTACTGGTCCGGCCAGAACCTGGTAGGCCTTTGTTTTTATATCTATCGGTGATGGATAATTCCTTTGTATGCGTTCTGGGGTAACATGATGCGACATGTAAAAAGGAGCAGGCAATCTACTATTTGAGGAAGAAGTTCACCAATTATGAGGTTAAGTATACCCTTTTAGAAAGAACATGTTGTGCCTTGACTTGGGTCGCTCAGAAGCTAAGGAATTATCTCCTGGCCTACACTACTTACCTCATATATAGAATGGATCCTTTGAAGTACATCTTTCAAAATCCAATGCCCACTGGAAGGCTCGCAAAATGGCAGATTTTGCTCACAGAGTTTGACATCGTCTATGTCACTCGCACCGCAATGAAAGTAAAGGCTTTGGAAGATCATTTGGCAGAGAATACAGTTGATGATGATTACAAGCCACTAAACACATACTTCCCAGACGAAGAGGTCAACTCAATAGAGGAAGTAGTTTCGGATGACACTCGTGTATGGAAAATGTATTTTGATGGGGCTGTCAATATCAAAGGAGTTGGGATCGGGAAAATCCTTATCTCACCTATTGGACAACATTACCTTGTAACGGCCCGACTTCCTTTCTTCTGTACCAATAATACGACGGAATATGAGGCTTGTATAATGGGTCTAAAAATATCTCTCAATATGGATGTGCATGAACTATTGGTTATGGGAGATTCTGACTTACTTATCCGGCAAGCCCAAGGTGAATGGGAGACTCGAGACATCAAGCTTATTCCATACAAACAATGTGTACAAGACCTGAGCAAGAGATTCAAATCTATCGAATTTAGGTACATTCCCCGGTTTCATAATGAGCTAGCCGACGCCTTGGCTACCTTAGCCTCGATGCTCCCTTATCCAGGCAATACCTATATTGATCCATTGCAAATACAAATTCAGAATCAACACGGCTACTACAATACTATTGAGATAGAGCCAGATGGTGAACCTTGGTATCATGACATAAAACGATTCCTGAAAACAAGGGAATACTCAAAGCATGCCAAGTGAGATCAAAAAAGAACTATAAGGCGGCTCGCCGGCGGTTTCTTCCTGAATGGCGACATTTTGTACAAAAAGACCCCAGAGTTGAACTTATTGAGATGTATAGATGCCATAGAAGCTGAGCGGATCATGAGTGAAGTGCATTCGGGGTTATGTGGACCTCACACGAATGGATATGTTTTGGCGAAGAAGATTCTGCGGGCAGGGTATTATTGGCTTACTATGGAGCGAGATTGCTTTAGTTTTGTTCATAAGTGTCACCAATCCTAGATTCATGGTGATCGGATTCACTCGCCTCCTTCGGAGTTGCATCCCATTTCCTCTCCTTGGCCTTTCGTTGCTTGGGGAATGGATGTTATTGGGCCAATCGAGCCAAAGGCTTCAAATGGGCATAGATTCATTCTGGTCGCCATTAATTACTTCACCAAGTGGGTGGAGGCAGTCACTAAGAAAGTAGTGGTAGCCTTTGTTCATTCCAACATCATATGTCGCTTTGGTATCCCAAAGACCATTATCACTGACAATGCAGCCAATCTAAATAGTCATCTGATGAAGGAGGTATGCGAGCAATTTAAAATTGTGCATCGCTATTCTACCCCCTACCGGCCTAAAGCCAATGGAGCCGTTGAAGCGGCTAACAAGAACATCAAGAAGATCCTTAGGAAGATGATCCAAGGGTCCATGAAATGGCATGAAAAGTTGCCTTTTGCTTTTTTAGGATACCGCAAGACTGCTCGCACATCTGTGGGTGCAACTCCTTATCAGTTGTTTTATGGAACTGAAGCTGTAATACCGGCTGAAGTTGAAATTCCCTCTCTTCGAATCATTGCGGAATCAGAGATTGAAGACACCGAGTGGGTCAAGAACAGATTAGAACAGCTAATGCTGATTGATGAAAAACGGTAGCAGCAGTGTGTTTTGGCTAGTTATACCAGCAAAGAATACCACGCACTTATAATAAGAAAGTGCGCTCTAGGAACTTTGAGGTAGGCCAACTCGTTTTAAAACGCATCCTTTCGCACCAGGTAGAAGCTAAAGGAAATTTTGCCCCGAAATGGCAAGGACCCTACATCATCAAGAAAGTGTTACCAAAAGGGGCTTTGCACTTGGTAGATGAAGAAGGACTGGTACCAGACATGACTATTAACGCAGATGCAGTCAATAGATATTATGTTTGATACATACCCACTGCAAAATTTTCACATATCGATTTTCTCATATCGAGATAACGAAGGCTATCTTTGCTCACTACCCCAAATAAGTGTCACCCTTTCGTTAACCCTTTTGAGCCATATTTGTCTTCTTGGTTTTCCCTCATTTTGGAACCCGTGTACTTGTAAAAAAATCTTCTCAGTCATTGAACTACGTTCGACTTGATTCTGAAAGGATATGTAGGCAGCCTCTCTCTGGGGTTCAGTCACACCAAAACAAAAATCCACAATCCCCCAAAAGTTGAAGCTGGGGAAGATGTTACAATGGTTCAGCGATGGTTTCGCCTGAAAGGTCCCAAAGTTGTAATTCAATCCAAATTATTTTTACCCAAATCCTTTGCAAGTCATTCCAATCAATCAACGAGAATGTTCAAGAATTGGAGGATACAGTTATTTGGATCTGATGCAACTAAAATGAGAGAAATAAAATGTGAGAGTCTTATTAGTGAAAACCCTCACATGCACCACAGGGCGATGACGAGCAGAGAAAATGAAAATGAGAGTCTTGTAGTGAAAACTCGCAAAGAGCGTTATAAGGCGATGGTGAGAAAAAAAATGAGAGAGGTCAGTTAGCGAAAACCTGCAAAGGGCGCTACTAGCCGAATGAGGGTCTTTGATACTCCGGTATGAGCACAACCAAGACAGTTTCAAGATGAACATTTGCGATGGATTTTGAGAATTAGACAGCACAGGCGGATCAAGCGTCCAGTACAAAATGTATGTCATGATTCATTGAAGTCGGCACATACCTCCAGAGAAGTCTCCCTATTCCTCTCCCCCGAAATGGGCACCTTTTGTTTAGATACAATTCCTTTTTTCACTTTCAATTGCTTTTCTATTTTAACCCATAATTTTTCTTTGAGTCCTTTTTCGGTCCAATCTTGCATCAAAAGCAAAGAAAAAAAATGGCTGTAAAACTGACTACAGTTTCCCTGTAATACCAAGCATAATTTGGGGCATATACGGCATTGATGAAGGCACGAATCCATGTGTGATCTCTTTTGATAAGACGAACAAGGCGTCTCAAAGATACTGAAAAGGTTGCCTAAGCAAGACTTGCTTCGTGGGAAAAGTTGACAAGCACTACCGACACAAACTGGTACTAGGTGCAAGACAACTAAGTTCGATTTTAAAGGAAATTTGTCTTGCCTTAGGGACAAGGGTTAGCGGTACCATGGACATCCAGATATGAAACAGTCGGGAGAAACATCCGAGAGCCAAGGTCTCCAGGAAGCGATACAGAGTATCCAAGCATCTCAGTACCATACTGGCAGAATCAGTTCTTCTACAGCAGTTGCCATGCATTCAAGCTAATTAGGGCATCAAGGCCGCAAACCAACCACCACTTTGAAAACTCACAATTTTGTTTTTGTTTGAAGAAGGAACAAAGCAGTGCATAATGGATATTCTCAAAGGATGAATGTCACCAAACTTAAGCTCCTTAAAAATCTCCGTTTTCTTTATTTTCAGCATGCATCACTACTGTTCATACCTCCCATTTACGTAGCTTAACTCAGGTAGAACTGTTTCGCCTAGGGGGATCCAGCTCATAGTTCCAGGTAGAAGTACTCTTCGCTCAGGATGTTTTATGTAACTTAACCCAGGTAGAACCTTGTCGCCTAGGGGGATCCAGCTCATAGTTCCAGGTAGAAGTACTCTTCGCTCAGGATGTTTTATGTAACTTAACCCAGGTAGAACCTTGTCGCCTAGGGGGATCCAGCTCATATTTTCGGGTAGAAGCACTCTTCGCCCAGGGTGTTTTATGTAGCTTAACCCAGGTAGAACCTTTTCACCTAGGGGGATCCAGCTCATATTTCCGGGTAGAATTACTCTTCGCTGAGGCTATTTTACATAGCTTAACTCAGGTAGAACTATTTCTCCTAGGGGGAACTAGCTCATAGTTCTGGGTAGAAGTACTCTTCGCTTAGGATGTTTTACGTAGCTTAACCCAGGTAGAACCTTTTTGCCTAGGGGGATCCATCTCATAATTTCGAGTAGACGTACTCTTCACTCATGATGTTTTACGTAGCTTAACCCAGGTAGAACCTTGTCGCCTAGGGGGATCCAGCTCATATTTTCGGGTATAAGCACTCTTCGCCCAGGGTGTTTTACGTAGCTTAAACCAGGTAGAACATTTTTACCTAGTGGGATCCAGCTCATATTTTCGGGTAGAAGTACTCTTCGCTCAGGCTGTTGTATGTAGCTTAACTCAGGTAGAACTATTTCGCCTAGGGGGATCCAGCTCATAGTTCCGGGTAGAAGTACTCTTCGCTCAGGATGTTTTACGTAGCTTAACCTAGGTAGAACCTTTTCACCTAGGGAAATCCAGCTCATAGTTCCTGGTAGAAGTACTCTTCACTCATGATGTTTTACGTAGCTTAACCCAGGTAGAACATTGTCACCTGAGGGGATCCAGCTCATAGTTCCGAGTAGAAGTACTCCTCGCTCAAATTGTTTTACGTAGCTTAACTTAGGTAGAACCATTTCGCCTAGGGGGATCCAACTCGTATTTTCGGGTAGAAGTACTCTTCGCCCAGGTTATTTTACGTAGCTTAACCCAGGTAGAACATTTTTGCCTAAGGGAACCAACCCCTGGTTATATCCATTTTCAGTAATACAGGGCACCAACCTCTGGTTACATTTTCTTTTTCAGTAATACATGGCACCAACCCCTGGTTACATTTTCTTTTCAGTAATACAGGGCGCCAACCCCTGGTTACATTTTATATCAGTAATACAGGGCACCAACCCCTTGTTACATTTCCTTTTTAGTAATACAGGGCACCAACCCCTTGTTACATTTCATATCAGTAATACAGGGCACCAACCCCTGGTTACATTTCCTTTTCAGTAATACAGGGCACCGACCTCTGTTTACATTTTTGTTTTTTTTCCCAGTAATACAGGGCGCCAACCTCTGGTTATATTTCCTTACCAGTATCAGGGTACACCAATCCCTAGTTGTGTTTTCCGACATAACGTCATCACTCACTGATCTCCTTACTAGTATAGGGTACACCAATCCCTAGCTGTGTTTTCCAATATAGGGTACACCACTCCCTAGTTGATTTGATCTTAAATGCAGGGTACACCGCTCCCTGATATCATTGCCAATATAGGGTATACCATTCCCTGGCCATATTTTCCCAACAATAGGTACACCAATCCTTGGTTGAGACATCTTTTTGACAATAAAGGAACACCATCCAAAAAATAAATAAATAAATCATCATGATCTTTTTAGGGTACACCATTCCCGATCTTTTATTGCATTCAATAAAGAAGTAGTTTATAATTTTGTTACAATAACTCACGAAATTTTCCTAGTGAAAACTAGGGCAGAAAAATTTCGTTCATTTGTTTGTTTTGGTGTCTGAGCAGGTGTTACCCCGAGGCATAGGATTCAAGATGACCAAAAGAAGAATTCTCAATCCAGAATAAAGAAAAGAAAAGAAAAAGAAGTGAATCCAAATACAGAAGCAAATAGAAAAGATATGGACTACTCAAGACGACTGAAGTTACGAGCTTTACATTTCCCGTTTTGATCAGAAGAAGTCGTAGAAGAATGAACTAGCATCTGCAGCTAGCAAGCATCAAGGTTCAGATCAGAGTCTGCGTGAAGAACCAGTCAAGACTCAAGTTCAAGTTTTAGAAAACTTATAAATAGGAATCTTGTAACTCATAGCTGATAGGTTTGTTTAGTTTCTTTTGATTTTGATGTAATAACAGGATCACAGACTGGAGCCTCGACGAAACCTCACTCGACTCTCCAACTCATCATTCCATCACTCTTCTTGAACTACATGCGACCTGATTCCCCTATAATCCGGGATATGTAAGCTGTCCAAAATCAGGACTCGGTTGCATCCTATCTTTTATTTCTTTTCCATTTGAATAACGGTTTGAACAAAAATTAGTCACATGGCTCACCTAGTCTTTGCCTGAAAACTCTTCATGTTTCCAAGCAAAGAGGGCAGTTGTGAGCACCTAATTGTTTTACTATATTTGAATTTTTATCACCTTCTACTATGTAAATATTTTTAAAAATTTAATATATACTTTTTTATCTTTGTTACACCTTTTTTATATATATGGTAAAAACTAAAAATAATTTAAATGGTCAATTATTACTATTCATATTATTTTTATCTTTATCTTTATTTTAAAATAAAATAAATTTTAAAAAACCGAAAAAAATAAATATTTTTATATTTCGGATGGGAATAAAAAATAAGAAAAGTAGAAGTATGGAATTAAAAAGTAAAAGTAAAAGTAGGTGAAAATTATTTATTTTTTAAAATGTAAAAGAAAGTAAAAAATTAAAAAAATAAAAGTAAAAAAATGTGAAAATTTAAAAAATAAAAAGTAAAATAAAGTTGGAATTAAAAAATAAAAGTAAAAAAATGTGAAAATTTAAAAAATAAAAAGTAAAATAAAGTTGGAATTAAAAAATAAAAGTAAAGGTAGGTGAAAATTTAAAACCAAAAAAGTAAAAGAAAGTGGAAATTGAAAAAAAGAAAAGTAAAATAAGTGGAAATTAAAAAAAGAAAAGAAATGTAAAATAGGTCTAAAATAGAAAAAAGGAAAGTAAAAAAAGTAGGAAATTAAAAAAATAAAAGTAAAGGAAAGTGGGGAATTATTTTTTTTTTTTAAAAGAAGAAAAATAGGAAGTGGGAATTCTTTTTAATTAA